TTCTCTTGCACACAAAGAACCTTCATCCATAGCCGACTCTTACGGCTCCAATAGGGGGTATGAAGGATTGTACCAGGAATCCAGCACACCAACGGAAGAAGAGCCTCCAAGCAACACCCGGCCTTTATCTCCTCCGACCGGAAAAGATTTAAGAACCGCAAAAGGAAAAGAAAACTAACAAACTAACTAAACAAAAACTAAATCCGAATACGATCGGAAATTTTATTATCTGGACAGCGCCGAAAGACTTAAGAAAAGAAAACCAAACATCGAGATCCGAACACAATCAGAGATTACCTACAAGAAAAGATAAGTTGAGAACTTTTCCTCTCTCTGAAAGATCCGAGAGAGAGAAAAGAGAAAAAAGAGAGAAAAGAGAGAAAAGCCCCCCCCCTCTCTCTTATCTCGCATCTTAAAAAGTAAACTGACATTGATGTAAATGCGAAATAATTGTCACAGTCACTAACATAGGCTTTTGATTGATGATATGAGTTATATTATCCTACATTTAGAAGTTTCTTAGCTCACTTACATTGTTTTTTTCGACCATTACCTCACTTACATAACAACATCAAAGTGATGAACAAATATATAACGCAAAATAAAAAGTACGATTGTCTTCATGTATGCTATGAAATATTCAACGTAACATCTGAATGCGAATACACAAGATGCTTTAATTAATTCTAAAATTCGGGATCAAAGTCCGTACAAGAACAAGTATAAATGATCTCGTCCCAAACTATGGAGGTTTTAATAACTAACTTAACCTTCTTTTTCGCTCGGATCCAAGAAACTACGAGTCAATAAATACGAGTCAATAAATACACGACTTCTTACTCGTAGGAAAGTTTATTTATGAAAGGGAAATGTATGTTGGTCAAAGAACAATTTCTATTTATACTTTTTTCTTAAATAAAAATTATATAGTTAATACTTAATAGTAGTTTATGATAGAAAAAATTATAAAGTTAATTAATACTTAATAGTTTATGATACCAAAAAATTAATAATAATAATGATTTATACAGGCCTCAATTGGGCAAGTTTTGGATATATGCTGGGCTTTCTTGACGCCATATATTACGGGAGAAGAGGTAGTTAAGAACCCAAAGAAAACTGAAAACTTAGAAACCATCGAGTATCAAATCAAAATAGTAGGCCTTTTATTCACGTATTGGCATCAAAATGTTCTACATTCAGATGACAAATGTAAGGCTTTAAGTGTTACCAATACAATTATGAATTATTCTCTCTTTTCTTTGATAATGTTTTCTACCGGTTTCAAAGAATTCGAAAACAGCATGAAAAAAATGAAATTGCCTTTTAAAATTGTCATGCTACTTTTTCCAAAAACAAGAAATCGCCATACCATATAATATATTTTGAAAGCCATTTCTCGATATTCTTTTGTTTCAAATTTAATAATTTAACAGGCTTAAAAATAATCAGTTAAAATTTTAATAAAACGGTACATCAATTTTTATTTTACTGAATGCAAGGATAAATAGAACATAAACATTTCAATTAGAATATATATATATATAACACAACAATTAATACCAAGAGAGTAATTAATCGAAAATCATGTTGAACATGCTGTTTTCTGGCTAATTCTGATGGCAGCCGGGCAAATAATTTTGTTGGCGAGAAGTCAATATCATGCACATTATATTTATTAATTATTATCAATGTTTTTTAAAAAACAAGTAAAGTAGTAAACAATAATAAAACAAACAACCAACGTTTGGTGGCTATTAACTATGGTATATACTGTTTTTCTGCTTTCTTTGTTGACGTCGGTATATAAACTATTTACATATACGAACGTTTGGGGAGTACGATTGTGGGGGTCGCTCGACGGCTGCAAATGAGCGTAAGGTTCAAATAGATAGTTGAAATGTCAATTTTTCACATAATCCAAATGTACGTAATTAAGGTTCAGCGCAACAAGTGCCCTTTAGAATATGCTATCTGAATATTAATATCTGTTTTTTAGTCAACCAAGTTACATTTTATGGTATCTCCATTCTCAATGTTTTAGCGTATTGATAACACATATAGTTTCGTTGGAACGGATTATAAAAAAATTGTATATACATGACTTCAAGAATAGAGCGATGAGAATTTATAAATTAAAAAATGCTAGTATTCTCTTCATTCTGTCATAGTATTAGAGCCACGATGATCTGTTTGTTTTATTCTTGGTTTTCAATTATTTTTATATATCAACCAAGTGTTTATCAATCGCTTCTTTCTAAACTTTGGCTTTACTTATTTTTTTCAGCCATCCTAATCTTGTTAAACCATTCTAGCGACGTTTTAGCCACCACCATACATTACACGATTGAGACTTGAATTCCGGCATTTCGCTATGCTACAAAGTGATCCATTCATACAGTATGATTTAACAATTCCATTTGGTAGTTTACCTGCTTGTTTTAAGTTGTTTCCATTATTCCATAGTTTATATTATATATCGATCATAGCTATGAATTTTTAATCTATATGAAATCTGATAGCCATCAACAAAGAAAAATAAAAACTGATAACTTGATTATCTTGTACTATATTTTATATGAATTTGTATTGGGCGACCATTACCTCTTCATCATTGGGTGTCAAATCTTTTACCTTTTCTTCTCTGTGTAAATCCTTAAAAAAAAAAAATGTGTAGTCATTCTTTTGCACGATAGATCCAGAGGATTCTACTCATTTTTCCAATCTTATTTGTATTATTGGTACCACTAACCACGAACGTCGTATTCCGATTTATAGATAATGATAAAAGTAATAATAATAATACTGTATAAGTTAGTATATACCAGATGTTTTAACAAAAACGTGCCAATATTCAAAGTTAGTTAAAACTCTAACTAGACAGACCAAAGTTCCAAACTAAACGTGGAGAACAACAAAACAAAACAAAAGCACAAACAAGAAGAACAAACTACTTCTCGTCTTCACGCGTCTGACACTTATTATTAGTGACCAAATAAACCACATAGCCCTTTATAATTTGATAACTGTTGTCCGTTTGTGGCGACTTTATTATGGATGGACGCGAGTAATTAGTTATCTTCTGATAATTTAAGGTATCGATCGGTATTTGACTTTATTCGAACGAGTAATAATTTCGGGTACATGTAATGTATTCGATTCAGAAGTTTTGCCCACACATATTTCGAGTATCCGCAATAAATAGGTACTTTTTTTAGAAATTTAATTTATTAAGATTACCTTGATATGCAAAATATTGAATTTGTTGAGATTTTCAAGAACTCCTTACCAACTTCAAATGGTGTTTTATCCGACGTGGGAACATGGTGGCTAATATGGTGGCTAATAGAATAGCTACAAAATCCATTT